CTCATCTTTAAAGTCAAGCAAAAATAAAAATGATTTTAGGATAAATCTGGTATGCGAAACAAATGACTATCTGATAATTTCAAGGTCTACCTACTAATTCTGCTTTTTTATAAATAACTAAAAAAAATCGTTTTTTACGTCTCTCGCCGGAAGTACTTTGAATTTTAAAACTTTCTAAGCGAAATTTTGTTAATTACTTAAATACGCCACTTTGAAACACCCGGTATATAAAAATCAGCCATCAGAATTTAAGTTAATCCTATTTTTGCTATCCTCCTTTCCTGATACCTGTAAATCGGCCGACTACTCAACTTAGCAGTTTCGCAGGCGTTTCAAAGTATCTAAAAGCTACCAAATGCCCCAGTTTTGTCTTTTAGAAAATAAGTTACGTCTGGGGTCTTGGACAAAATTGCCGAAGGATCGAAGCTACTCTTCTTTGATAGTGATGCTGCTTTCATTCTCGCGCCACTTTGACTATCTGTGTTTTGCAATTACTCCATATCTCAGAACTCAAACCACTATCCAAATAAACCTCTCCTACTGTGAAAGTCTTTCGCGCAGCACCTGATCCGTGCACCATTCCTCTAATTTTCCACCCTTGCGTTTTCATTTACGTCGCCTTGAATCTAGTGTGTTTAGCTTTGGCGGGCTCCTGGATTAGCCCTGTTTGGGGATTGACCCAAATTGCACCTTTCCCCTTTTTTGCGGTTTCTTTCTTCCTTTTAGTAGCTTGTTGGCGCTTTTGAGTGGCTAGAGACGTGACGTATGTGGCGTCAACAGGGACTGTAAACGACACCGCGAATAGAAGGAGAATGAGACATGAAAGGACATTTTTCGCAGAAATGTAAGCTTGAGTATCCAATATGAAATCACGTTGCCATGATGTGGCATTGATTTACCAAACACTAGTTCTGTCAAAAGATGACATTTCGAGAAATATCTTTGGTATCGGTGGTGATTTCCCGTGATTGTCTTCAAAGTTTTTGAAGACACAAAAAAACGTAAAAAATCGTAATTTTTAACTTTGAACATAACCTGCTTTCAGAAAGGACAACGCAACCCGTCGGGCGCAGCTAATAGCTATACTTCATTGGCAGTATATTCAGTAATGATTTTCTCACACAGCAAATATCACTGATATTATACACATGCCATACCAATACATAAAATCATCCAGATGCGATCTTGCTATTCAACCAACTTTCTTCTCAGAGATGAAAACTATAGACTACTTGGCTTCACAAAACATATGCAACCAACAATGCGTGTGGACGTGTAGTTGAGTCATTTCTCCATAGATGGATGCTCATAACGATCCTAGTGAGCAAACGAGGAATGACTGTTTGCACCCTAAAAACTACCTAGTCTGCAAGATGACATTTTATAGATTTTTTTGACGTCTTATAGGTTTTTTACATAATACCTGTGTAGCTTAGCATTTACCGAAGTGGTGTTGCCAAACTAGCAAAGAACGTTTAGTTCACGGTTTTTGGTGGTTACGTTAAAAAGTCATATGTAATAAGTAAACATATCGCCTTAAGGCGAGTCTGTATAGATAACTGGCAACTATGCCAAACGCACCGACGATTGGTCAAATAAGAAGTTTAAAGTTAGTAAAAATATGAATTTCAAACTGAAATTTTTCTTTTGTGACCGAACTAAATCGTGCAATATTCCGCGTAGGGAAATTAAATAACTATGTGACCATTTAGGTACTGGTTTTGAGAATAACTTTTGTTACATGACGCGGAAAGCACTCGCAAAAAGTAACTCTATTGAATGAAAAATATATTTCATAGGCTGCAAATGGATTATACATATCCACATCAAGAATAAATGTCAAAAAAGTAAATCTGAACAAAAAATGCTATCACTACGAGTGATGAACAATTAATTCACCCAAAAAGGATTATCTATCTGGCAACACCGCATCGCTCATCGTGTATGGACAGTCGCTAGTTTTACAGTATTCGTGAAAACCATAGTTATCATTGGGAATTTGAAGTTTCGAGAAAAGTAAATTTAAATGTTTGAAGACTCCTAGACTCGTTGTACAGGATGGGTCAAAGATTTGACAGAGTAACCATAGATTCCTTATTATAAGGAAATAAAAACAAGTATATATATATACAGCCGTGGCCATATGTATTAGGCACTTGTTGATGTGTTGTGATGTAGCGCATATTAACAGAGTTCCGGGAAAGGCCTACTTATAGGAAGGTTTTTAAGACACCCGCATGACTGCCCTACTGGTAGGAATATGATTTATTGCTAGGGTGGGGACTGCGCGACGGACTTCATGTAATGTTGGACCAGCGAAAGATTGCAAGCCGAAAGAATGCGGACAAAAAATTGCGAAGTTGTCAGATGTTCTACATAAAATGCGGTCCATACATATTAACATATTTAAGATATAGAATTGTTCCGCTGAATTTGGCAATGTAGCTGGAAAACCCAGGCCGCAGGTAAACATCCGGTCGCTGATTGGTCCAAAACTCTTATCTTATCTGAAACTAGAATAACGTGCCGATGGCACGGTCATTTATAAACCTACTCCCATAGGCGTAGGCAGTTGGCAAATACTTTGAAAATATAATTTACTGTTTAGTGGTGATAATGGAATTCAAGCATGGGAAAGTTATTCACAGCCAGGCAAGGGAAATAATAGCAAACGTGATACGTGCTTGCGATGCAGAAGCGGCTAACAATACTTTCGTTTATCCACTGGTAGCTAGAAATGCAAGGGCGGCATATTATACGGGTGTTAGTGAACGAACTATAAGTAAAATTAGAAAAGAAGATAAAGACAGGCAAAATGCAACCTCCACACAGCCTTTAGCTTCTCCCGGAAAAAAGAGATCACGCCCTTCTGTGATCCAAAAAATTGATGGAGTCGATTTTTCCATTATTCGGAGAATGATAGAAAAATTTTACTGTGATTTTAAAGTGGTACCTACTTGTAGTAAACTTCTAATCAAACTGAAGGAAGAAATGGAATTTCCATTTGGTAAAGAATCGTTGAGGCTGCTTTTAAAAGCAAAAGGATTTTACTGGCGTAAATGCCACAACAAAAGGAAATTACTAATGGAAAGACCCAGTATTTTACATTGGCGATACAAGTATCTTAGGTCTATTAAAAAGTTCCGGGAAGAAGGAAGGCATATTATTTATTTGGACGAAACTTGGGTTGATAATGACCTCACTTTCAAGAAATGCTGGCAAAGCGAAGAAATTATGGGTGTCCTGAGCAATATAAGTTCTACAGGTAATAAAGTTTCTTTCACCTCGATTTTGCTTATTATACATTTTTCTCAATTTTGGAATATTCTTAATAAGTGCTCATTTAATTTGTCTAATTGAATACATAATCCCTTGCAAGTATTTTTTTCTCAAAAATATGTTTTTTATACATAGTGATTCAAAAAGGTGTTGGCAAACTTAAAATAACACTAAAATGAGGCTATTTATTCATTTCCAGGACGACTTATAATTGTTCATGCGGGTTCGCAAGATGGTTTTGTTCCTGGAGCCTGTCTCATTTTCAAGGCTGGCTGTGCCACTGGTGATTATCACGGTCAAATGAACCAAGAAAATTTCACGAAGTGGCTTACTGAAAAACTATTTCCTAACATTCCTCCTAATAGTATTATAATAATGGATAATGCACCTTACCATTCAGCTTTGGAAGACAAGCCTCCAACTAGATCTTCTCTAAAAAGAGACATCATCACGTGGTTGAGCAAAAAAGGTATAGAGCATGATCCTAATGCTAAAAAAATGGAGCTTTATGAAATAGCTTGTCTACATAGGCCACCATCTGATGAGAAAAATTATAAGATAGATAATTTAATAAGAAGTTTCGGACACACCCCACTTCGAACGCCACCCTATATGTGTCAGTTTAATCCCATAGAGATGATTTGGGCACAAGTAAAATTTTTCATTAGAAGCCATAATACAAGCGGCGAATTTACTATAAAAAAACTAGATGAAATTTCTAATAAGGCCATCGCTTCAGTAAGTGCCAGTGACTGGCAAAAGGTTATTGGACATGTTATAAAAATTGAAGATGAATATTGGGAAAAAGACAGTCTCATTCAAGAAATACAGGAAGAAATAATAATCAACATAGGAGGTGAAAGTGATAGCAATGACAGTTCCTCAGACAGTGATCATGACTCTAATCAGGATTGAAACTATACTAGATTGGCTACCTTTTAGAATTTTTAGATATTCATTTATTATACTATTGGTTTGTGGCTTTTAGTATCTCAGTAGAAAGTCTAATTCTATGTGTTGTTTATGGGTTATTTCATCAAGAAATTACTTTTTGTTTTCCTATATTTTTCTATTCAGTCAGATATTTTTGACTTGTTGTATTCTATTTTAGAAGAATGCATAATTTGTTTTGCTGTTCAATCATAATGCGTACATAGGAATATTACTTGTTGCCTAAAAAATATATTTATTTTGTTCTCAATATTCAGTGTTTGTGTATATTTATTTCTTATAATGTATGTTTGGTATCACGTCATTATGAATCGCAAAAAAATATTAATACTACCAGTTGTAATAAAATATAAATTCAATTAATAATTCAAGTCTCTCCGATCTCCGCCTATGACTCCATATAAAATCGTCTAATGGTAAGGTTTTTTCATCGCATTTCCCCCTTTCGTCCCTAGCAATCTTTGGCTGGTCGATCTATAAGTTGGAATATTCGGTCATTAGCAGGTAGTTTTATTTCGTCTCGGCGCGAGTAAACAACTGTCAGCAAAAAAATAATCTTGACGTATAAGGCTAGTAGAATTGTGCAGATGCCGAAGCAAAGAGAATTAACAGTTTGCGAGCGCGCCCAAATAGTGTTATTACAGACACAAGGTGTCACGCAGTGTGAGATTGCCAGAAGAATGAAATGTTCGCGTTGTGCGGTACAAACTACACTTAAACGGTATAATGAGACCAAAGCTTACGAGAATCGAGCAAAAAGCGGCCGATCACCAAGAACCAGTGCGAGGCAGGACCGAATTTTGCAGCGAATGGCACTGCAAGATAGGAAAAAAAGCTCTAAAGCACTCGCCGCCGAATTGCGCGAGGCGCAAGGGATTGTGTTGTCAGCAAGGAGTGTTAGGCGAGGGCTCGTGGAAAAGGATTTGCATGGAAGAAAGGCGCGGCGGATGCCACTGCTGACGGAGAGGCAGAAACAATTGCGTCTTTCTTGGGCAAAAACATACAAGGATTGGACGGCAGAAGACTGAGCTAAGGTGATATGGACGGATGAATCCAATGTAGAGGTATTGTTAAACTAATGTTTCACTAACTTTTTAAGGCAACTGCATATAAAAAATTTAGTGTCTCTCTGCAACAACCTGAAAAAATTGTTTTTAACTTGCTTCTTTTCTTTGTCGCAGTTATTTGGTCAACCTGGGACTCGGTACGTGCGACGAAGACCCGGGGAAGCTTATCGGGAAGAATGTCTTATCCCTACTGTGAAATTTGGAGGAGGCAGTATCATGATTTGGGGGTGCATGTCTGCCAGTGGCGTCGGCGAAGTTTTTTTATGCGAGGGCCGTATGACCTCTAGGCGGTATTTGGACATGCTTGAGGAGGTTTTGGAGCCTTCCATTTTACAGTTAGTGGATACCGAGCAAGGGAATTATTTTTTTCAACAAGATAATGCCCCCTGCCACAAATCCCGCGAAGCGATGCGTTGGTTTGAAGAGAATGGGGTTAACCTGTTATCGTGGCCGCCCCAGTCCCCAGATCTCTCACCAATTGAAAATTTATGGCACATTGTAAAGAGTAAGATTGCACAACATCACTGCGCTTCAAAAACTGCGCTAAAAGAAAAAATTGTTGAAGAATGGAACGCAATTCCTGCAGCTACCTGTCTGAAATTAGTGTCTAGTATGCCACGAAGAGTGAAATTAGTAATAAAAGCTGGAGGGGGCTCCATAAAATATTAATAAAATGTATGCATTTTCTAATAAATTGAGATTCCTATTACTGATATACATTAGTTTTTCTCCAACTTCCATACTTTCCAAATTATTCGTTGAGGTCCTAAGTGCCTAATACATATGGCCACGGCTGTATATATATATTTTGAATTCATGGCTGCCCAAAAGTAAAAGCAGACCAAACATTTTTTAATGGAAATCCTTTTTATTTTGGTATTCTCCTTATGGTTTTAAACATTTTTTGTGTTAGCGTCCATGTTTGAATTCAACTGTTTTTGATATATTTAAGTTAGAAATGAACCTTTCGTCATAATCGACACCCTGTAAAATCTAAGGGTTGATTAACCAGCAAAATGCCTTTCTTAGGTTTTACGATCTGTTCTAATATGAGAATTACCTTAACTGGAAATTTAATACGCAGGGACTAGAACATGAGAAAAAGGGGATTTAATAACTTCAATAGCTCAAACACAGAATTATTTAATTATTTTTTAATTGGGACAGGAAAAAATGATCCAAAAAAGCTTTATTTAAAATTAATGGTAACTGCTTAAAAATGATTACTTAACGCTTATTTCTTTCGTCGCAGGGTGTACGGTAAATTTATTGTTGTAGTAGCTACTTAGTTTCGGTGACGATCAGTGAACGTTCATCATTGGCTGTGACATTCACCTTTTTTACCTGCACGGCTAGACGTGTTTTTGCGTACGGATTTGTTACAGTATACTACTTTTCAACAAACATGGCATTTATCAATTTATTCACCGGTACATTCCAGAAGGCTGCCTATTCCTATGCCTCCTAATATCGAAAATATCCAAATACCCCTATTTGATCGGCAACCACGCATTTGAAAAAAAAAGTTCTAACAAAAGCTTCAAGATACCTTTTTAAACCAGCCAATCAAAGAGCATGATCCAGGGTGTACATCAAATGCGAGTTGGTTGCTTAGCAAGAACGCATCTGGATGATTGTGTGTATTGGTCTGCATGTGCATAAAATCAGTGATATATTTTATTTGATGTGTGAGAAACTCATTACTGAATATGCTGCCAATGAAGGATATCTATTAGCTGCGCCCGTCGGGTTATTTATATGTTGTCCTTTCGGAAGACAGGTTATGTTCGAAGTTATCTATTACGATTTTTTCCATTTTTTTGTGTTTTCAAAAACTTTCAAGGAGAATTGCGGGAAATCATCACCGCGCCCGCGTTGTGTGTAATTTCTGTTAGCATGTAACATATATGACGTGTAATTCGACAGTGTACATAATTATTTCTTACCTCTCTCAATTTTGAAATCCAGCAAATTTGCATATGTAATTTCCAGAATGGATAAGAAAAAGTGGACGCGCAACTAATTTCTAGCTTTGCATCTCAAGTAAGTGTACTTGAGACAAGAATCCAATGGAATTATCATCAACACATATTAATAGCCCACGAATCCTCACTATGCACCTATGCATTGCCGTTACTTCCAGTAATGCCATCTCTGAAGCAGATTTTACATCACATCAGAGCCAAACATTGATAACTGAAGCCTCATAACGTTTAGGCAACACGTACAATGACAAAACGAGTTCACAACGTGTCCATCAGCTAGTACTAAGTTAACATCTTGTAGAAAAACCTACATAATGTCACAAAAAAACAATATAATGTCAAACAAAAATCGAAATAATGCACTTTTCAAGATACTTAATACCCGTACTGATGAGCGCTAGGGCGCTTCTTGTTAGTCAAAAAATTAGTGTACCAGATTGTTGCGACCCAAACAGTCTCTCGTCAAGGAGGAAGTTGCTGCTAGTCTTTTCTCCAGTTTACAGGCAGAGATCTACTTGGCACTCTGCATGTAGAGTGCTGTCATCAGCAAAGATGTGCATTGGATTGATCGTACAGGAAAGGAGGTCGTTAATATGTATTAAAAACAATATCGGAGCCAAGCGAGAACCCGTCAATTACGACGGATATCTTGCGGCCAGAGAAGTCAGCCACCAATCTGCAAAGATTCTGTGGGAGGCCAACCGACGAATAATTCGCACATCGATTGCCATATCGATGAGGCGCTGACATGACGGTCCGATTCTAATTATTGTATTCTTACGGTTACGTTTCCGGTAGAAACGTGACGCGTTATTGACTTCCTGTACGATCAGGCAATTCTCATTCATAACCACAACTTACACCAACATTTTTTTACCTTTCGGTTCTTTATTGAGCAAGCTTTCATATAAATTACGTACGTTACGATGACCGGCGTTGAAATCAAATTGAAGGCGGTCGCTAGAAATTGATGCCGTTCTGTATAAGTCTAGACTCCTTTACAAGTGTGATATTTGGAACTTATCCTGTAGTTTTCATGTTGATAATCCCCATGTTTGTCTGGCCTAATCAAACCACCTATATTTAAAATTCCTTTCTATCGTAATACGTTTCGGTCCAAACCTTCTTCAATTACAATTGACACTATTTTGACAATATATTATTTTATTTATCTGTCTTCCAGGTGACTGAAACGTCGTATCATGAAGAGGCATTTTAAACATATATGGGTTCATTTGAAAACTTCCTACCACGGATTTATCAAAAACCATTCACTGAAAAAAAAAAGGCTGAGACACATCAAAAGATTTGTCAGGGGAGACAATTTTTAACCAGTACCTCCTTTCACACTCGGCCCCCCAGGGTCATTCCCTTAAAAAATATAAAAGACAAGGGGTATCGAGTAATAACTTGTTTGAAAAGTCTTTCGAAGTCCTTTATTTTGACGTTTGATTTTTTAAAATCAGCCGAGTCGTTTTCGAGAAAATTAGAAAAATCTTTATTTATCTTAATTTGTTCAAATAGAAAACCACAACACACAAAAATATCACTTCTTATTCCAATAAGTGTTCAAAATGTTGCCGGTTAGGGTTTGTCAAATCTACAATTCGTTTATAATTTAAAACAGAAATTATCAACATAAATAGAAATTCGGAAGAATAGATGTGGCAACAACCAAATAAGAACCCGAATTTTTCCGCATTCTTTTCATCAACACAGACATCCTGGGCGAACTGTATTTATTCTTATACCTGTTTAGTTATTTGTTGCTAAGGGAAAGAAAGAATTTAATTTGCTGTAAGCTACGTTTGTAACAATCTTGGGGTAGTGAAAATTAATTTATTGATTCAGATTTTACTTCCAAAATGGTTTACACACTAGCCGAAAGAGTGGAAATGAATTTATGGTCCCCAAAATCAATGTGCTCGGCAAACTGCCGTCACGTTTAACGTCAGACATACGGCGAAGATAACTTCGCATAGGTATGTTTTGGACCTTGTTACTAAATTTACTGAAAATTCAATGTTGAAGTTTTCGGTAATTTTGGAATAAATCCTAATACTTCATTACGCTAAACTGTTGCTGCGACTGGTATTTCATCAGGCTCTGTACACACAGTTACTAAATTACATAAATTTCATGCATTGAAAATGAAAATATTGCAAGAGTTAACCCGAGATGATTTCGATAGGCGAGTTGTGAACAAATGACGGCAGCGATTAATGATAATATCATTCATGTATAGAATATCTGCTTCAGTGATGAATGCACATTTTATCTAAATGGGTTTGTTAATAAGTATAACTGCAGGTATATTATACTTGATGAGGCTGGAATATATTTCCAGTATGACGGCGCTCCTCCTCACTATGTTCTTCCAGTTCGGCAATGGCTAGACGACGAGTTTCCAGATAAATGGATAGGGCGAACAGGGCCTATAGAATGGCCTGCTAGATCTCCTGATTTGACGCCCTTAGACTTTTTCTATGGGGTCATGCTGAAAGTTTGGATGCATTTCGTCAACGCATCAACGAACGCTGCCATGATATCCCACATGTTTTTGAAAATGTTCGTCAAGAATTTAAACATCGCCTATATCATCGTTTGGCCAATAACAGGCAACATTTTGAACACTTAAAATAAAGTGATATTTTCGTGTTTTTGCTTTCTCTCTGAACAAATTAAGATGAATAAAGATTTTTCTAATTTTCTTGGAAACGAATCGACCGATTTTGAAAAATCAAACGTCAAAATAAAGGACTTCGAGAGATCTTTCAAACAAGCTATTATTCGATAGCCCCTTGTCAATTGATATTTTTAAGGGGATGACCCTGGGGGGCAGAGGGTGAAAGGGGGTGAAGTAATTTTTGGTTAAAAAGTTGTCCCCCTTGACAAATCTTTTGACGTGTCTCGGCGTTTTTTCTTTCACTCAGTGGTTTTCTATAAATCCGTGGTGGGAAGTTGTTAAATGAATGTGAATGTGGTTTGATTCGGCCAGATAAACAAGTATTGAATGTCCTAACGCCTCTTTAAGATGTAACTTATATAAATCAGTAAATAGCTCTTCAGTAAAAGATGGGTCAAGTATGTTAAGTTGACTCTGGGACTTTCCACGCAACTCAGAAAATATTAGAAAGTCACCACCCCTTACGAACATGTATAACATATGTGTTAAATGGATCAAGTCAGTTAATAGGCTCATGTAATACCTTTTGTGAGAATTTCATCAAAATCCAAGCAGTGATTTTCGGGTTACAAGGTCAAGCATTAGCCGACAGACTGACGAAAATGAGTGATATGGTTTTTCGTGGTGGTTATATCATATAGCATCAAAGAAACATATAATTCTCGAATTTTTTCGCTATTGCAATATTTCCTTGCTAAATGGCGTGCGAAGTAAAATAAACAAAACATTGCTTCACAGTGGCAAGCATGCGGTAGGTATTCCATCTTTGAAACACAAACTAATTCCGCAGTGATTCTTGCCTAATATAGTTAATATGCCAGAGCCGCGCAAAAAAAAATACAGGAAGAATACAAAAATCGATGCGAATTCTTCCTTAATTGGATTACTTATCGCATTTTGAATTAAAAAGGTATTATTTAAATTGTTCCAAGTCTTATAGATTCAACCAATATTGCACCCACACCCAGTATTTAATAACGATAAACAAAGGGCACAGTTGCTTGTCCGCGTTCGCCGCATCAATCCATCAAGACATCAAACAAATAAACTTGATGCACATCACGGCCAACGGCCTGCGACCGCTTGGTCCTATCGTTGATACACGCCAAGCTTGAACCGTTATCGTCCACGCCTGGTTATTAACTGCGCTCATTTTCCTATCTCATGAAAAACAAACGCGATCGATGAAGCCATAAGCAAAGACAATCGGTCAACTGGGAGAAATGATGCATCTTACAAGCTTGGGTATTTTTCATTTCACAGAAGATGCCATATCTTGATTTGAGGAAAAAAAATATGATGGGACAGGAGAGAGTCCATTTACTTTAACGTAGACCTCAGGACTTTAAGATTGTTTGATAATTACACAGGCCTAGAAACCAGTATACTACGTATACTTTCCGGAAGGCTTTTGGCACGCTGAAACCGAATCTCCTACTTCACTGTAGGTTCCGAGATATCCTAACTAAAGGTGCAAAAATAGCGATGTTTGCCTGTATATGAGGTTCTGTGGCATTGCGAATAATTTATTCAAAATATCATAGACATCATTTCACAGTACAAGTCCTTTCAAATGATGTTAAGTTTACTACAAAATCACGTAACCTTTTTTTTACTATGTTGATTACTTATCAGTAATTTGAATTTCACTTTATTAATGGTAGAGTGCCATTTCCTAGGAACAAACCCTTTTTAATGATTTTCTTTTGTCAAATTTCATAGTTTATTGATTGTATAATTTCACACGTATATCTTTCTTTCTCAGCGACTCAGTACTATGATGAAATCTTTTGGACACTAATGTTGTAGTGTTAATGACTATCTCAGAAATTTCCTCATAAAATATCGTCGGTCCCTCATAGAGTTGTGTCCGACCATTGGCAATCACCGCCACTCTGTGATTTCTGAACGTACTAACCTATACAGGGTGATTCACAAGTGCTGACCAAAAATGAAACATAAGGACAGCATTTTATGTAACATTAAGTACCATTCCCACTTCTCCAGCTTTGTTTTGTAGATGTATTGCATCCGATTTTGCTGGAAGCCACCCCTTCCCCATGACAAAAAAATCCTGATGTAAACAGGATGTTTTTATACAGTAAATTATGGAAACGAGGCAAGCAGCCCCTACCTTGTGACATTCCTCACGTCACTACTCACTATTGGCCACTAGTTTTTGACCGGGGTTTGTGAGCTGAGGACATCTCAGCTGCGCCTAGAGCCGTCACTGGATGAAGACCACTGTCCAGATAAGTTTAGGTTTAGGCGTTAAAATATTTGAAAAGCCTTCGTATGTGGTAAACGTTTTGCAGGGTTAATTATCAATCTAATAATTTTATTGTCAGGTAGTTTTGAATAACACCCTTTCTTTTAACTTGCACTCCAGTGGTGGAGCATATGTTCTGCTTGTTTTGTTTTATTTGGATCTCTGGGTACAATTAATTAGGTTTCGTCATTACTGTTAGATTCTTTTCTTTTGTGTGTTCCGACTAGTATCTCGGGGATTTGTGGCTTAATCCGTCACTGGCGCTATTAACCCCCCTTCTCCCCTTCATTGATCTAGGGCCTAAATTTGCACGCCACTAGACAGCTGTTTTGCATTGACTGGCCATTAGATTTCATTTATAAAGTTTTATTAATTCATTCATTAATTAAAAAAAGGGAAGAGGAACCACACCACCGTTTCCTCTTGTTTGTGAAAAAAGGCGTGGCATACATTCGCTGAGGTATGTCAATTTGAAATATTCAGTTTTCTGAGTTTCACTAGATTTGATTTGAAGTTGTGTTTTGAATCATATTACACCAAAAATTGATTAACAGATTAATGTATTTTTATGAAATAAGACCTGTCAACTCAAATCTTTAACACTAAATCCATAACACATCTAAAACTTACCCAAACCACAAGCCTCCATCCCACCCTACTCTATCTAGATCGAATTGAACGTTCTAACTTTGAATGTCATACCTTTTTCAATAAAAGACTACTTTTTTTCTGTAAAAAGGGACCGATATAGCTTACAATATCCAACCCACTCGACCCTAACTAGACAGAATTTGATGTTCTCACTTCCGGTTGCATTTTTTTTTAAATAAAAACTACTTTCTTCTAATACAAACCGAATCAATTTGGTTCTCAATACCCACACAAAAGCCCTCAACAATCCACTCTTCCCCATCTTCACCAAGATTAGCGTTTTAACTCAATTGTACACTTTCTTAATACTAAAAAACGATTAGACAGTTAACATACTTTGATCTGAATAGACATACAGATAGCAAGAACGATAAACTCGTGATAGGGAAGCGTGGGTTGTGGTCTAGAGGTTTTGGCAAGTTTTAGACGTTTTATGGATTTAGTCTCAAGGATTTATGGGTTTTTTTTAGTTGACGCCTTATTTCTTAAAAATACATTTCCATGTTATAAAATTTTTGGCGTATTATGATCCAAATCACACTTTTATGCAAGTAATCATAACGTGTAAAATTCACTAAAAATAAAATTTCAAAGTGCCGAAAGAAAAATATATTTAAGCAAACTCAACGGCGTTTCAAATGGTTTTTACTTTGATATTATGTCTATGGTTTTTTTTAAAGAAGATAATTAACGATACTACATAACTTCAAATATAAGCAAAAATAGCTATTTTTGACTTTTAAGGGGATATCTCAGCCATTTGAGAGATTTGGACCACGGATTTGAATTCAATGTATCAAAACCCTTCGGTAAAGTAAACTCTGCTTTCTGGGTAAGAGGGTTGCCTCACTTTTGTCGGTTAGTTTTACTTTCGAAGCTCTATTACCAAGCGATCGATGACGCCATAATTTTTAATTTCACAAAATATCTAAAGGTGTCATGAAATGGAGACTCATTTATTTGGTGAATCAAGTGCGTAAATCACGAAAATCTGATATCAGGCAAATTAAAGTAGGAAACTCTTAACTGTTGGAGATGAAGGAAATAAAAATAAGCTTTTTTGATAAGTGGCTCACCTCTTCTGCGACCTCTTTCACGTCACCATTCTTCTCTCCCTCTTTGTTCGTAGTCGTTGGCTTCGATTTGTCTTTCTTCGAAAATGATATGCTCCTGAACGACCATTTCTTCTTTTTCTTATCTTTCTTCTTGCCCTCCGTTTCTTCGGTCTAAAGCCAAATAAATCAGCACGTGAATGTTTAATATTCACAAAAAATATTCATGGTTTCAATTCGCCAGTGACTACTTTATGAGAAAAGGTTATGCAAGCATCGGGTCAGTTAAGGGTGCTTAGGACCACCATACGAGGTCTGTAAATTAAGTGATGAGACTGACAACGTAGCGTTCAATCTGGCAACACTGTAGGCGCCGGGCTGGGCGGGGAGACTGGGAAACATGTGATCCGCCTTCAGTACAAGTTTGAACTCGCTCGAGTCATTTGGTTGTTGAAACAGTTTTTTCTATTGTGTTCTAAAACTTTCAAGCAAAGGTGAAGATAGTGAGATATTGTTTTGTCAAGAGCCCAGGTATTTTCGATGGTTTGAGACATTTTCCGAAGGAAGAGAATCGATTGAAGATGATCCACGGGGCGAAACGCCTTTTATTAAAAAATCGATGAAAATATCGACTAAGCCCGGGATAAGATAATGCTCCTTGTAAATGTCAATAAATGGGATTCTTGTGGCTTCTCAGTCTCCTTATTGGCCTGACTTGAATCTTTGTGACTTTTTCCTCTTCCCGAAGTTGAAAAATAACCTCACATTTTGGGACAGTCGAAAACATTCAAACGGCTGTAACCGACCAGCTGAAGGCTATTGCAGTATCGGAGTTCCAGCACTGCTATGAGGAGTGGAAGAACCGTCTACAGCGCTGTGGCTTCAGAAGAAAATTATTTATAAAATTGTAATTGTATTTGAATACAATTTTTTGAAAAACTCAGTATCTTCACTTAATCTACAGACCTCGTATATTCCCATGAAAATCATGCTTCCATAGTGCTTGTATAACTAATTTGTTTTTCGATATGGACAAGAAATTTGCACAAATGATGTGCTTCATGAAGCGAGTCACGATTCGATTTGTTAAAAGTGTTGGTGAAAAATTTTTGCGATTCAAAATTGTACACTCGCGTACTTCTATAGTTAAAGAACTAAGCATGATATCGGAAAAAGGATCACACGCTTTGTATAGTGTAGTTGCTATGCTTTCGTTCGATAGATCCAAGCCTAGACCATGCTGAGGAGTAGCCAAAAAGCACGAAACAGCTATCCATGGTTGGCTGTATTTGATCTGGCCGACTTAAGCAGAGTGTGTGTGTGTGTGTTTGTTTATTGTTTTGATAATTTGTATGTTTTGTAAGAATCCTAGGATTAATTTGTCTTGTCGCCTGTCCGAAAGACCACATACAGTTAGCATATTCAACAAGAAGGTACTAAGTGATGTAAAAATTCGTGTATCAAGCGAATACTGAATCATGAAATGCCTACAGAAAGCAAACTCTGAAAATAAGGAGATCAAAAAAGTCTATGCAGTGTCAAAACCGTCCAGACGTTTACCTTTCCGTCGGTGGCTCCTTCTGGCGTCTTCTCGCCCGATGACAGCGCTGATTCGTTCAACTGATCCCCGGCGGCGGCTTCTTCCGTCGCCGTTTCCGGTTCCGCGACCCCATTTTCTTTTACTTCTGCTTCTGCCGCCACTGGCGAGCCAGCCGCCGCCGCTGCTGGTGCAGCGTCTTTTTCCGCCGTTGAGTCTTTGGAGTTTTCATCTTTTTCCTGTAACAAAAAAAAAATGTATTCAAAAGTGGGATCTAAAACAAAGAAAATAATTTACGACTTAAGCTCCATTTTCCTTGATTAACACAGCGACATACTTTGCTAATGTGATGTAGGACAGACTTTTTCTAGGAAAGAATCGGTGAAAAAAGTTCAATGTATTTTTAACTGTTAAAAACAGACGTGTTCTGCAACAGATCAGCGTAAAATTTTACTCAATTTCTCAAGTGTGTCAGGAAAGTAATAAGACTGGCAACACTGTAAGCAATCTGGCAACGCTACGCTGTTGTCCTTCATATGACACGTGTGACAGCCCTCGCTCCTCCCTTGTCGCTCAGCGAGAGCTTCAACTCCGCTTGGTAACTATACATATTGTACTAGTACAGGCCACAAAATTCGGCAGGTGTCCACAGGGAGGTGAAACTCATATGGGAGAATGGAAAACATAGCAGTGTTGCTGGTGCACAATATGACAACCATGTCGCACCCTCAAAAAATGGCAGCTTATTCACAATTGACAATGTCTGATTGGCTAGATTTAAATTTCCGGTAGATTTCTTTCGGTGCTTTGCCTTACCTTACTTTTTTCAATATGTCATTTTCATAGCATTTTATTTTAATATAATAATAAGTACCTATTATGTTATTTGAACCATATGCCTTTTGTTCAGAGTTGTGAAGTATAAAAATATAAGTCCACAACACTAATATATTTGTTAATAATAACTATTTCTGTAAGGTGATCCCACGCAGTAGTCCGGCTTCTGGCAGATCCTGAGAAAGATCATACCTATTGGGATCTCCACATGACTTTTTGAACAGTGGAGCTCTACGAAAAGTTCAACAGCCTCCGCTGTTAACCCCTGAGCCCGTGAGGTCCTTAGTATAATCAAAAGTTCGGAGATTACTCGTGGTCTAACCAAAAGGCACAGCTTTGAAGGATGATATTTGCAGATCATAACATTAGTAAGTTTTTATATGATTTAATAACCAATGATGATTTGTACTGCTTTTCTCTGGGTATTCCATATTTGGTTTTAGACCAGCTATTCTCAGGGCAGCAGGGTTTATATGCAGAGCCCACAATTAATTGCAATTAAATCGAAACAATGCTGAAGATCAAAAACGGCTGAGATGCACATCAATTTCTTGGTACTTATTTTGGATTTATTTACTCGTAATAAGGGAGGCTAGTCCAGGTTAATAACTTATAGAGATAACAGTAAAAAAAATTGATGATTAGAATCAAAATTAGATTGTTTAATATAAAATATAGATTTTCGTTAACAAAATATGCTTGGGCTATTTTGAATCTTGCGTAAGGCATGTATACCGATGAGAATGAAGTTACTGTGAAAACATTATTAGATGTTTGAAAATAAAAAAATAATAATAAATGTGTACCAATTGTGCGTGTGGTACCTTCTGGACTCTAAATGTTGTTGCTTTTAGACAATAACCTGAGCACCCTCAGGGAGGTGTCAGAGGAGCTGTGCTGGCGCCTCACCTAAGAATCCTATTGAACCTTCAAATTTGGATATTTAGCGTGATTTTGTGTACAATTTTTGGGAATTCTTAGGATTTGCCCCCCAGAGATTTGCTACCTCGGCTCTTTAAAAAGTTTTGGGGGCAGGTACAACTTCACAAAAAGCTATCTCTTGAAGATGCTTATAACCCCTGAGAAATACACTTGTGGGTACACATGAACAATAATATTATTGTTCTAATAAAAAAGAAATATGGGAAATGTAAGATATCTACACAATTCAATTTTTCACAATTTTTTTATTTTTGCAGGTGCCAACAAAGGCTGTGGAATGAAAACATCCGGACCATATGATGTTAATACTGATTTGTTTGTAGAAAAATATATAAGATTTATAAAATAAATACATATTTAGGTATTTGCATGCTTTTCTGCTGAACCTTTCCAGACTATTAAGCAGATATGAGTGATCTTATAACATCTTGTGTTATTGACATTGCTATTTTAACATACAAAAAAGCTCCTTATTCGTCAAGATAGCGCAAAATGTTAATGACATATGCTGTTATATCTCTATATACAGGTCAGTCAGAAAGAACGCATGTTTTTTAGATGAGAAGTACAGTCAAAATAAGTATGGGAAAATATTTTATTATATTAAAATACTCGGAAATACATGGCATTTTTTTGAATAAAACAAAATTTACGTTTTAAAAACTATGTCGGCTATATGGCGCCCTTGAGCCGAAATGCAGGAATCAAGCCTCTCCGAAATGAGCCCATTGCATCGGCCAGCATCCATGAAGGAATTTGGGTTACTTCTCTTCTTATTTCCTCCTTCAAATCGAAGAGGGTCCGAGGCTTGCTTTGGTAAACTTTTGATTCCAGGTAGCCCCATAAAAAAAATCACACTATGACAGGGCCGGGGAGCGAGGAGGCCATGGAATATCGCCAAGACGTGAAATGAGACGTACTGGGAATGTTTGCCGAAGAAGTTCCGTCGAAGTGCGAGCTGTGTGAGATGTTGCCCGTATTGTTGGAACCACACTGTTCTGAGACGGCCACGTCGACGTCGAAGTTCCGGAAAAAAAAAGTTGTTCAGCATGTGGATGTAACGTTCTGAATTCACAGTAGTTGTTTCTCCGTCATCCTCAAAAAAATAAGTGCCAATAATCATCGTTGGGCCTACTGCACACCAAACTGTAACTTTCGGGGTATGCAGGAGGTGCTCATGCAACTGTTGGGGGTTCACTGGAGACCAATATCGACAATTTTGTTTATTGACGTATCCATGTAAATGATAATGTGCATCATCACTCATAAACAACGTCATGTCCTAACTATTCAATCATGAGCTGTGCAAAATTAACACGTCGTGCACAATCAACAGTTGTTGACAAACTTGGATTTTGTAAGTATGGAACACTAAATCCTTCTTCAAGATGCGACGTACAGAGGACGGGTGGATCCCTAGTGAACTGGCACGCATACGGACTGAACGATTCGGGCTTTGCAGCGTGTCAACTCTTACTCTGTCTTCGTTTTCGGGGGTTCTAACAGTACGGTTTCGCCCTAGCGGTTTTTTCTTATCACATTACCTGTTATGTTGAATGCTTCCACCCATCTCAAAATGGTGTTACGATCTGGTACTGTCCCACGACGTGGAACACGAAAGTGAACGCGAAACTCACGTTGCGTTCGAACGATAGACTCACCATTTTGAAAGTATCGACGTACAGTGAATACACGATCCTCAACGTTCCAAACCATCTTGCCAACTGAAACGGCACTTCTCTCACTATTCAACCCGCCCTTCCCCACCGACACGCGACCAGCCCACTCGACGTAGTACCCATTCGAAAAACATGCTTCTTTTTGACGGACCCTGTATAAAAATATAGTAATCTCATATTTATATGTAGAGCTGGCAACGTTGCGTGGCATGAATGCACCATCTGGTAATCATGGTGCAACTTCAAAAAATGGCCAGTGACAATGTCATAAGTCAGCCGTGTTGCCCTTGAATAACATGAAATTAAGCCTTCTTTCATAGGGGAATAAATATAGGCAGAGATGGATGAAGGACGACAGTCGACGGACAGCGTCCAGTCAACATGTTTATAAATTTGTAATAAATTAGTTACGAGTATTGTGATAAATTAGTGTTAAGCCCCCCATTCATTAGTGGATTGGTGTGACGGATTGGTTCGTCCTGACTTGTCCGCCGACCGATCCGCCAATATATGGTATCGAAAGACATGTCGCACAGCGGTCCGGGTCGGGTTGTGAGTTCGCTTGTTTGAATACCGAACCTACGACCCGACCGCGACCAATCCGTGCTGTTTTTACAATGTGTGTGTAACTTGTCAAGACTTGTCCGGCGACGAAACAGTTCTTCCGAGATCAACGAAAGTATCAAGTCATTTTTGAAGGGAATTCAAATTAAAATGTCTTTTGAAGATAATAAATCTTTTTGGGAGGAATTTATCCAACTTTACCAGGAAAATCCTTGTCTTTGGGACATCAAGTGTAAGGATTACCGCAACAAACAGAAAAAAACTGCTGCGTATGAGAATTTAATTAACAAAAGCAAAGAAATGTTTCCAGATGCCAACAAGAAATTTGTTATCAAAAAAATATCGTCCTTACGGTCATCTTTCCGACGCCAGATAAGACGTATTAATAGTTCAAAGAGAAGTGGGGTGGGAACAGAAGATGTACCAGAACCTACATTGTGGTATTTTGATCTATTGACTTTCCTGATGGATCAAGAAGAGTCTCGTGCAGCGGTTTCTTCGATAGAAGGAAATAACCTAGATGACCAATCACAGGCCTCAGTAAGTAGATATTTTAACTAACAAATAATCTAAAAAGTCAATATTTATAATAATTCAGATATTTTATTTCAACACATATACTATACATCTTAAACTTAATATACAAATTTGTGTTGAAAGTCAACTTCACCTGCATTATTATAATATTCTTTATATCCTTTTCGTATCATCTTTGCGTCAATAGTCGGAGATCCTTGCCTGGACACATCTAATGATATTATACTCTGGGCGCTGAAGAAAGACATTAAACGTAAACAGTGATCAGCACGTGAACAGATCCTCGAAAGCATCCAAGGATATACTCCAGTCACTTTAGGTCTAAACATCCTCGGGAGTGTATTTCTAGTGAATCCACAGACCCTTTTTCGTGTCATCTTGAGACTAGAAAAAGGATGACTGTTAAAATAAGTTACCTTGATCTTTCATGAGCTCCCAGTACAAAACATCATCGATATATTTTTGATGTAGGAACAACAAATTGGTTTAGAAAACATCCACTTTGAACCTAAATTGACTGGAGTAACATCGATCTACAGACAAATGCAAGGTCACTAGCAGTCGTCGGCGCTCTACGAATCTGCACAGGTTTGGACTTGTAAACGTGATTGTAGATGACACGACAGGCATCTAACAGTTAATTCACGCACAGGATTGCATTGCATACGGATTACGCATTCAGTAGCGTATACTCGTTTTTCGCGAGTGGAACGTTTTGTTTATATATTGCCTAAGATACGATGTCTGACACAGATACAGCCGACGAAGTGGTTGACATCAGCGCAAACCCACCCAAAAAAAGGGCTAAGAAGCTACATTTAAATGCAAATGAAAAACAAATAATATTAAATATATACAAAAACCAAATTCAAGAAAAACCCGATTTGGTCGTGGACGAAGTTATATGTAAGGTAGCACATATTTCTGGAGTATGTCGGTCCAGTGTTTATAGGATCATTAAGGAATATAGGAGCACTCACTCACTTTCTGAGCCAAAACCGTATCCTGCAAGAAAAAGGATAACGGACGGAGTAGATGACTTTGACAGAACTGCCATCAGGAGGAAAGTGCATAATTTTTTCTTCCGAAATGAGATACCTACAATAGATAAGATATTAAGATTAGTTAATGCTGATGAGGATCTTCCATCATTTAAAAGAACCACATTCCGAAAACTTTTGAAGGAACTTAATTTTCGATTCTTGAAACGGGGAAGAAACAGTATGTTAATAGAGAAAGAAGAAATTGTTGTGTGGAGAAGGGAATACCTTAGGAAGATTCGGAAGTTTCGCGATGAAAAAAGAAAAATTTACTATTTGGACGAAACGTGGGTGAATGCTGGACATACTCAAGCGAAAGTTTGGGTCGACAAATCAGTAACATCATCAAGGCAGGCTTTTCTAGACGGACTTTCGGCTAGATTGAAAAATCCTGCAGGTAAGCTCCTTCATCTATCCGGCAATTTAATTTTGATAAATTCGGGCAAATAATATGCTGTGATAGCAGATAATGTGTGATATTCTCCAAAAATGGTGCATTCGCAGTGTAGTCATTAGGAAAAAACTTCGACCCTCTTTTAAGCGTTATTTTGAAATTTATTATCATTTTTGGGTGCAGTCAATTTGCTTTGAATGGGTTTTGAGAAGTTGCAAACTTCAATTTTCTACGTTTTTTAGTTTTTGATCAGCATTCCGTGACTCTTAAATTCAGCTAAATGAACTCAATTGCCTCATTCCTTCAAATTTAATCAATCCATAGTGTAAGGAATAATTTATTTCCAGGAAAAGGCAAACGGCTGATCATTTGTCACGTAGGTAGTGAAGACGGCTTTGTTCCCGAAGCACTGTGGGCCTTTGAATCAAAAAAGACAGGGGACTATCATGAGGAGATGGACGGCAATTCCTTTGAAAATTGGTTCTCCAAAATGTTACTAAAGCTGGAGAATAACGCTGTTATTGTACTGGATAATGCCCCGTACCATTCTAGAAAAATAGAAAAAATTCCTACAATGGCAACTAAAAAAGCAAACATACAACAATGGCTGGCCTCAAAACAGATCGATTTTGATGAAACAATGGTCAAGGGTGAATTGATAAGTATAGTCAATAGACATAAATACAAATACGATTTTAAAATGATCGACGAAATGGCCAAAAAACAAAATAAAACTGTCTTGAGAGTGCCACCCTACCATTGTGAGCTGAACCCTATTGAGCTGATTTGGGCCAACATAAAGCAATACGTGGCGTCGAATAATAATGCTTATAAATTTTCTGATGTTAAAAATCTCTTTCACATCGCAGTCAATAGAGTTACGGCAGAGGAATGGAAAAACTGTATCCGCCACGTTCGGGAGAAGGTTGAGGTCAAAATGTGGGATTTGGACTATGTCATCGATACCCAAATTGAACCTCTAATAATTCATTTAAACGATTCAGAAGATTCAAGTTCCTCTTCTGAATGAGTGCGCGCAGCTTACTTACTAATAACTAAAAAGTGTAGTTAACTCATTTGTGAATCTTTAACTGAAATTTACTGTAAAAGATAATAATTATCTTGTATGAAATTTTTGATGACTACCCATAATATCTTGATGCGGTCCTGTAATGTCTCCTGCGCCTAAACACTCACTCACGAGCAATATGCGTGTATTTGTTTGGGTTTAGTTTCTTTCTTCAGCGCCTAGAGTTTAGTTCTCCATTCATGTGCATATCACCTATCAATACAGTCCCTGAGATAATGTCTTTAGTATCGATGTTACTAGGTTGTATGTAGGAAGTGCTTTTGCGGCGTAAAAAGTTGTGTAAAACACAGCATGCCATAACGATATCATCAACTGTATCCACTTTAGTAGCTATTGGCGTTAGGAAAATCCTGAATCTATTTGCCATGATCCCGAATGCGTTTTCTACTACGCGCCTGGCACGGCAAAGTCGATAGTTGAAACATTTTTCTTCATAACCAATACTGTTGGTTTGTCTGTATGGCGTCATGAAATTTGTCATTAGACTAAAGGCTTCGTCCCCAATAAACACAAAGGGTCATTTATTTTGAATTCCTCGCATATTGACTGGTTGGGGTAATTTTAAAGAATCTGTTATCAGTAAATTGTAAAAATCTGTTTTCTTAATGATATTCTTCCATTCGTTCCACAACTTACATAAGTAAATTCATAATTAGCATTTACGATAGCAAACAACACAACACTGAAAAATCCTTTATAGTTATAATAGTATGAACCACTTCCTGGGGGCTGTTTGCTAGCTATGTGTTTGCCGTCTACGGCTCCTAAGCAATTTTCAAATTGCCACATATTGTTAAATCCTTCTGCTACTTTGAGCCATTCCTCTTCTTTTGATGGAAACTGAAACCAAAAATAACACAGCTATCATATGAGGCAAAGTTAACTGTGAGCTATTTTATTGCAGGAAGCCGATGCATACACACAACATTCTGATCAAGATTTAGATTCATCATCAGTTTTATCGCCTGAAGCTCCTCAAAGTGCAACACCAAGTTCCCGTAACAAGCGAACTCTCAACTGCACAACTTGGACACAGAAGAAAAATACATTTTTGGATGCTTCCATAAAAGTATTGGAAACTCCGCAACAGGATGTTCTTGAACCACAAGAAATAACATTTGGCAAAAATACTGGTCAACAATTACAGGATATTGCAGTTGGACAGAATGTGCTATACCATGCAAAATTGGGAAATCTCACACATTCTTCTCATATTTCCCTGGGTTACCAACCACCATCATATCAAAGTGCCCCATGCGTTCCGCAAGCACAAATATTTCAAAACTCATGCTCCAGGTATACAACATCCATTAACCCAACCTTTAATGAACCCAGCACGTCATATACACATCAACCAGATGTACCAACTTCTACCACTTTGACAACTCCAAATCAGGCGTCTGCAAATAGGGAAGTGATGGAAGAATTTTTAGTTTTTCCCAGGCAAAATAATTAAGAAGTGATAAGGTACTACGAGTATTACAGACTGATTCACATATCTTTAATTGTTAGACATAATTTGAAATAATAAAAGTTTTTTCAACACTCTGTTTCTTATATGCATCAGAATACATGAAAAAAATAATTATTGTACTTACACATAAGTATTTCTTCCGGAGGCAGTTGTATATAGCACGACACGTTTCTGGAATTATTCTTCCAAGTAACTGAGGAGAAATTATACAAGAAAACTTTAAGTCTTCATAACTCCTTCCAGTTGCCAGAAACCTCAAGGTGGCCAACAGCCGTTCTTCAACGCTTACTGCTTCTCTGAATAAAGTGTTCTTCTTTTTTATCAGAGGTTTTACTAGCATTAATAATTCTTGGAATGCGTCATAGTCCATTCTGAGGTAATTTATAACATCAAGTGGTTCACATGATTGGATACATTTCAATAATCGCAAATGAGTAAATTGTTCTCTCTTTTGCAGCCATTCTTTCACCCAAACACGTTTTTTCTCTTTTTCTGATTCTAATAATATGATTGTACCTACAGCCAAAGCAACTTTCGCCTTTTTTGATAATATCGGAGACATAATGCTATTGGGTTCGCCACATTCAGTGTACAAATGAGCTCTTTTGCAGGGTTCGTGTAATTTCCGTCTAATGTATTGACAAACGTGGATGAGTCGTCAGTCGGGTCCCGGTTGCCGTCCGAGTTCAGGTCCGTCTAGTGAATGGCCCGCATAAGAGTCATAAATTAGACTAAACTGTAAAAAATCGCATCAAATAGGTTGACTGCATTTCTCACGCAATACTGTTATCGATTCGTAAAGCATTATGTTCAGCACAAACTAGACCATCTGAGAAAAAAGTCAGTCAAACAGGTCCGTTCAATAGTCAAACAGGTCCGTACAATTACTCCATAGACACCCGATCCGTCTGTTGAGGACATTTTTATGTTTTAAGGGCTAAAGTAAGGAGAAATTTGTGATGTGTGGAATATGTCTAATAGGTGGCTCCAAATTTTTTACGTCTAAAAATGTTTTCTAAATATGAGCCGGATTCTCTGAAAGTCTGAGCGACTTTTTTTCGTTTTTGACCTTTTTCTCCGCCACCACTGGACACTGAAAATTGTGTGAAAATTTCATCAAAATCGAAGCGGTACTTCTCAAGTTATAGGATTAGCGGACAGACTGGCAGACAGATAGACGGAAATGAGTGCCATAATTTTTCGAGATGTATAAAAATTTGTAATGTTTTTACCTAACAAGTGCAGGAAGTGATGCTTTTCAGCAAGCAGATGCGTTTTGAAAGTGACTACTTTCCGCACGCTGGTAGAAAAACAATATCTCATGTTTTCGTGATTGCAATATGCCAGTAGGCTACTGACACAAGTGTGGATGCACCATTACGACAACGCCCCACTTCTCACAGCCATTTCCGTCACAGAATTTTTGACGTCAAACGGCATTTCCAAAATTGAATAAAAATGTGAAAGGACGTCATCTGGAGACTTTAGGAAAACGTTCAAAGACGTGTGGCGGATCTGCTGAAGACCAAGCCGGTTATAGTCTCTGCGTTGCTAATAAGACTGGGAACAACGTGTTTATCGGTGCGTAGCTGCCCACGTACGTGGAATGGGATAATGTGCATGTTAGAAAAACTTTGGTGAGTTAAACATAAGTGCATTACTTTTCTGAACACCTCGTACATGACGCGCACGACCGCCCCTGTTAACCTGAATTCCTTTCGGTCATTACATCTTTGAAATGAGGGTAAAAAACAAAGCTTTAAGAGACATCCAATTATTAGAAATGGAATCTGTATACATACTCGTCGCTATCTCGTTTAACCATCACGCGTCGGTTAAAGAAAATGCCTGTCCAGTAATGAGCGATGCGACTTTTTATTATGACAAGTGACAGCTTGAGCGTAATAAAGTCCATTAATCGGCGGCGTGGTATGCACGTTACTAACTATGATGAAGCGGCCATCACAACCGCGAAAAGCCGTTGGCGTTGAAAATAATTAAATTTAACAAAACGCCTGTTTATCTGCCTTCCACATCTGCAGTTCGCGGAAATGTCTTTATGACCGGTTTTAAATGTTTTTACTGTGAACACTTAGATATCTTCTTTTAGGGGGATCCAGCAGCTCTACTAAAGCTGTAGCTGAGGCAGCAGAAGTCATTAATGTTTAAACCAATGGCGATTTAGACCTTCTTCTAAAACTAACATTAAAGAAATACCAATATACAGGGTGTTGTTTTTGGGTAAAACAGTTTTGTCAAGTGTCATCTAGTTCGGTCCTGCATTTACTTTCATGTTCGTATCGTAATCGATTGGATATATAAGGTGAATACGCACAACAAGTTTCAGACAATACAAAGAATGGTTAAAAAGTGCTGAGTCTATAAAGAAATTGAGATATCCATAAATCATCGAAAGGCAAAAGTTTATTGGTGCTAAATAATACACAAAAATGTTTGCACTATTAAAAAACGATGGAATAAAAAACATTAACTCTCTGTAATATAAGACAAACAATATAAATACAGAAATATAGCACAAGTCAAAATAAAGACAATAAAACCATTAAAAGTCATGGAACAATTGGATAAAATACACAATGCAAATTAAAATGTAAATAAAAGTAGATGCATACAAACACTATGTAATGAAATAACCTGTATATGGAGTATCACATTTTTCTAGACCTCTATACATTGTACTATCAATGTTTCCACAGTCAAAGACCTTTCGTATACCGCAGTCTATTTAGGCTATCACTATTTTAAATCAACACGTGACAGTTAAACCGTAATAATCGGTTCAATTTGGCATGTATATAATGTAATAATCCAGGATGTGCCCTGCGGAAATACTCGCAAATTGTTTATAGCTGGCGTACAGTAGGTACAGTACTATAGAATGCGTCATGGTAAAGTTGTCAGCAGCCGGAAGGGACAGTCCTGGTTCAGCGATATTGGCGAGGCCCATGAAGGTAGTACTTGCGAAAGAACAGGGTACTACGAGAAAAGCTGTCATAACACTATACATGGTGTTGCAGTGGTCAGTAGTCAAAAGGGGTAGTCAGGAATCATCGATATTGGCGAAGCACATCGTAGTACTACTTGCAAAATCTCAGGGTACTTCTTGAAAAGTTTGCCCAATACTATACAGGGTGTTTTTAGTGGTCAGCAGCCTGAAGGGGCAGTCAGGTTTCAGCGATATTTGTGAGGTCCGTCGATATACGGATTGCAAAAGACCAGGGTACCACTTGAAAAGTCAGACTTCAGCGATAGTAATGAGGCCCATCGAAAAACTACTTGCAAAAGGTCAAGGTACTACTTGAAAATCTAATACAACACTGTACAGGATGTTTTTAATGATCAGCTATCCAAAGGGGCAGCTATTCTTCCGAAACATTGGTGAGGCAAATCAAGGTACTAATTGCAAGAATAAAGGATATTTCTTGAAAGCATAGTACAATAGTATAATAGTTACACTTGAAAACTTCTTATGTGATCTGTGTGAAAAGGAACTCAAAAGAAGAGTTTCGTTCAGAAGAAGTGCATTAACAGTTCTTGGCATGAGCGTTTTAAGGTGCTTCATAAGCCAAGCTCAACAGATGTTTAAAAGAGGCGAATATTCACGGTACAAACTTTTGAACGGTATCGTACATACAGCAATTATTAATGGCAGACCTTCCAAAAAGGTCGCGGCAGTATAATGACACTAGAGGTCATTGGTCAGACAAAATTTGCTCGTCAATTCGTCGCATGTATGTCTCTGTCTAGTTGGTTTGTGTTCATCATTATTTGTGTTCCGTTCAATTGTACTTGCTTCACTACAGAATGATACAGATGTTAATTTGTTGAATGATTTAGGCGCGTTTTTAAGCAGTATATTGTCCGAAAATAACATAAATGATACTCCACTTCAGGATGACATACAAGAACTGGTCAAACGGTCCTCAACAAAAGTAAGATCTGCGTAACGCAATGCGACGAATAGTTTACTTCTTGTAAGGATGTAGAACAATTATAACCCCAGGCACTTGAAACGATATAAGGCATAACATCAAAGTTGCGTACAGAACTAACTGCAAGCACAGATGGACATAACGTGAGCAATAATCATAAACTGGTGCATCTGACCTCTTAAACTGCTGTACACGCCTGAAGTTACAATCATATCGCTGCAATTTTACGTTTAAACTAACCAGGTGTACCTTTGCGAAATTACACGTCTTGGCAGACATAAACCAGACAATTCTAACGGAAGCACTACTGACTGCCGTTATAAACGAGATCGAGATAGATCAATCATGCGTTTTTTTACTTCTGACGCCACTGGCGAGAAAGTATTGTAATCGCCAAAAATTTCGAGACTGAGATATGTTGTTTGGATGTTATACAGGGTGTAAACGTTATGTTAGTCATTATTTAAATGGGTGATTGAGGGGGTTAAAAGAAGCAAAAAGTTTCATATAACATGGGTGTCAAAACGGCATTTTTTTAGAGAAAAGCGACTTTAAAGTAAACTAAATCTGACAATGCCGCAAAACTATGCAAAAGGATAACGAACCACTTTTACCGTTTGCGATCGATTGCCGGTTCAATAAGAGTGATGATGACCGACGCGCTGTTGTTAAGTGTGTTTTAAATATTCAATTTAATGAAACTTACTTTCTTACTGACTACAAATTTTGGCTTAACTTAAAAAAACTTAATGCCATTTATTTGTTAATTACCCAATTTAAAAACGTTTTAGATAAGATTATAAAAATTAGTAAGATTGTGGTGATTCTGGTCGATATAAAACACTTAAAAGTTATAAACTATAAAGCCATTTAGACAAAAATCTATTGACTTTTGGACCATGAGTCATATGAACTTTTTGACTTGTTTTGACCCCCCTTATTACCCATTTCAATAATGCATAACGTTTACACCCTGTATAACATATACATCACGAAAAACCCCGCCACTCATCGATCGGTCTGTACGCTAATACTTGGCCCGTCTCGGAAGTACCGCTCGTATTTGGATAAAACGTTACTACTATGCTGAGGACGAAAAAGATTTGCAGCTTTTGAAAATCGGTCCAATGGCAGCGCACATAGGGGAAAAAATTGAAAGCGTTCAAATTTT